GTCTATCTGCACAACAACCTACATTGGCTTCAAAGCAGAGAAATCGTCATCATCCCCTCATGCCCATTTGCGCATAAGGCACCAATAAGTGAGCACTATTTTGTCCTGTCTCTAGCTAGAACCTCAGCCTGTTGGAATGTTAGGCCTCTTTCCTTCAACACTTTCTCCATTGGTCTACTCCCAAGTTTCTTTTGGCCGTCTTTGTTTTCTCTTGACCTGTGGTGTCCATATAAGAGCAGTCTTAACCAATGTGTATGTTCTCATTCTTAGCTCATCTTCTGTGTCTGATTATGGTTAAATGAGTGCTCTTCTTTTTGACTCCTCATTTGAGGGAGCACAGAAATAGTAAACTCATTTAATGGTGAATTTTTAAAAATTAAAATCCGATTCCGAGAGTTGCGATCAGTACAGAAATCCCTGCAAGTACTAACCCAAGCTAAGAAACAATTCACGTATTTAGAATAAAATGTTTTCACGTTTTCTTAATTCAGTATCTGTAGTGGTGGATGTGTGGTTTTAAAATAGGCGATTGAATTGTCAATGGGAGGTGGATTGTAGGACTACTATATTTCTAAGAACATGGTTTTCAAATTTACTTTCGATACGATGTCATTGGAGTTTGGTGACGCTTAAATCATTGACGTCGTTAATACTTAAAATAAGATAGGATTCGTTTTTTTAAATTAAAAAAAAAAACACGCTCTCTTGTGTGTTGGTTATTGCTAACGTTCGACAGGGTATAAAAATATTTTTTAAAATACGATATGTTTCTAGTCGAGTTGTGGTTATTTTGGGTACACTTCCGTCTTGTACCCTGAATGGAAAGTACATTTTGCCAGAGGCCGTTGTCGAAATCGTAAACTAGTCGGAAAACTGTCGTAAATTACTTGTAAAACATTGTCTTGAATATTGTTTTGTTTTTGCCTAACGACAATCTGTAACTAACGACTATCCGTTATTGTGTTTAAGCTAATCAGCCCCCTCCCCCCCCCCCCCCCCCCCCCATAACGGTCCTCATATTTTAGTGTGTGTATATTTGGCATGACTCACTGACGGTAGATTACAACTATGGGTAAAGTGACTTTCGTTTTCAAATAAAGATGACGGAGAGGTTGTTATCGCATCCGATCTTAATCTAGATTATTCTCGTTACACCTGGATAACTGATCAAAGCTTATTCTGGTTTGAGCTGGTTGAAAAATTATTCTGAAAATGAAAATTGGTCGTAACTTTACCTGTTGTAAACTGGGCAACTGATCAAACTTTACCTGTTGTAAACTGGGCAAATTATCTAAACTTTACCTGTTTTAATCTGGGCAACTGATCTAAACTTTACCTTTTGTAAACTGGGCAACTGATCAAACTTTACCTTTTGTAAACTGAGCAACTGATCAAACTTTACCTGTTTTTGTAAACTGGGTAATTGATCTAAACTTTACCTGTTGTAAACTGGGCAACTGATCAAACTTTACCTGTTGTAAACTGGGTAATTGATCTAAACTTGACCTGTTGTAAACTGGGCAATTGATCTAAACTTTACCTGTTGTAAACTGGGCAACTGATCTAAACTTTACCTGTTTTAAACTGGGCAACTGATCGAAACTTTACCTGTTTTAAACTGGGCAACTGATCAAACTTTACCTGGCTTAAACTGAGCAACTGATCATACTCAACCCAGTTTAAACCGAGCAACTGATCATACTCAACCCAGTTTAAACTGGCTACTACCAGATGTAGATGCCAGTTTGCCCTTGATGTAACTAACAGTGCGCCACTTTAAAAACAATAACATTAAAGACAGCGTGAGTCACGAGGTTCTCTTCTCCCTCCCAGGTTCCATCCACATCCACCCAGCCACCGACTGACTCGCTCACACCTTGCCAACACAAGTTTCTACAGGGGGAAAAAAAAAGGCGAATGACGACTGAGATGTTTTTTGGAATTCGAAACCTAATTTAGGTTAGTGTTAGTGAGATTAGATATGTTATTTATAGCCATCGATGCTACGGGGCAACCCATCTCTGTGTTCGTGTTAAGCTTGCATTATTTTTTTTTTCATCCAATCAGCTTAACAAAAATTACAGTGAAAAAAAAACATGACGTCTAACCATAAGAGAATTGAGTCATATTGTATAATTTCATTCTGACATCCCTCACGTCCATTCCACCCCCCCCCCCCCAGACGAAATAGAAAAAAATATTTAGAAAAGTGTATGCTTTAACCAGTCCCCCCCCCTCCCCTCGTTGAAAAAGTGTCTGAAAGAAACCTTGGAAGTGGAGATGTTGGTTCATGCCTTTTATTCCCCTCCCCCTCCCCATTTATAAGACCAATTAAAACAATACTCTAACGAGCATGATTTACCGATACCATTATCTGTGTGTCTGTTTCTCACCCTTGGTTTGTCCTAATTATTGCCTCGTTATTGGATTCTCACCGCTCTTCTACCTATTTACATTGTAATGGCAAGCTAGGGGCAATACAGAAGTAGTCACATCATCCAAGCGGTCTTGTTTAACACCTACATTTCTATCATTTGGACACTCATAACTTGTTTTCACAAGCTTAATTTTTATAATTGATGTAAGCTGATCAGTCGATGTAATTGATGGTGTTGTCCATGTAACAGTCGATGTAATGATGTAAGCTGGTGTTTTCCGTGTGCCAGTCGATATAATTGATGTAAGTTGATGTTGTCCATGTAACCATCGATGTAATTGATGTAAGCTGACGTTGTCCATGTAACCGTCGATGTAATTGATGTAAGTTGACGTTGTCCATGTAACCGTCGATGTAATTGATGTAAGCTGACGTTGTCCATGTAACCGTCGATGTAATTGATGTAAGCTGATGTTGTCCATGTAACCGTCGATGTAGTTGATGTAAGCTGATGTTGTCCATGTAACCGTCGATGTAATTGATGTAAGCTGGTGTTTTCCGTGTGCCAGTCGATGTAATTGATGTAAGTTGATGTTGGCCTTGTAACTATCAATGTATTGATGTAAGCTGATGTTGTCCATGTAACCGTCGATGTAATTGATGGAAGCTGATGTTGTCCATGTAACAGTCATGACACACTAGTGGATGTATCGATGCTTACTAATGCGTCATCATCGTAACAGCACGCGTGTCTGTTTATATGTACGTTTGTTTGTTTGTTTGTTTGTTTGTGTGTATGTGTAAAAATGGACGTGCCAACATGTTAAACTGGTGAATGTTCCGATCGACGCGTGTCTGTGTTTGAGTCTATGTCTATGTGTTCAAAAAAAAGTTCGACCACCGTGTGAGTGAATGTGCTTGTAAGTGTGTGTGTGTGTGTTTATGTGTGTGTGTGTGTTTATGTGTGTGTACATGTGTATCGACCTGACAGCGAGTCTTCACAATCGTGTCCCCCAGCTGGGTGCGAGAAAAACCATGAGTCATTTGAAAAGTATCTTATAATGAATGTTTTCACTAATTCCCCATCTCGCCTCAAGGGTGTTGTTACCTTGAGTCAGACGAACCTTCTCTTCCCCCCCCCCTCAAATCTACTTCAACCTTCTCTTCACTGGTCGCTTCAGAACTTGCGGGATAGTTCGCCCGACTTTAAAACTGTCTTATTTATTATTGGCTGCTTTGTTTCTATCTTGTAGATGCTTCGTGTAGAGCTACACTCTTAGCTATTGCCATCTTAGGCTGAGGTTTCATTACAATTGATGTCCTATGTAGTAGGATATGTGTAAGAAAACTCACCACACACGAACATACTCTCTTTCTTGCCACCCCCACCAACTTCTAACATCGTTTAAGAATCGGTTAACTGTGTTGTCGTTCTGCCTTGATATCATGACCAGAAATTAAACACCAAACACAAAAAAATAATAATTTAGGTTTAACTTGTGTCTGTCAACCACTAATGCTTTTTCTATCGTATTGGGTGGGGAATGGAAGATAGGTGTATTACTTTGACTTTCTCTCGGTAAAAACTCGTGTGCTCAGAATTTGTGAAGTAGTTTCAGAACGGTTGCACCGCATCTTCAGTAGTGTGTATTTTTAGAAGCAACATCCACCTGCAAGTATGAGTTTTAAGTGTTTTCTTCCCATTCCATTCTAGATGCATCATCTCATGGATAGATAGCGAATAAACAGAATAGCTTCCCTTTACAAATATTAAGACCTATTTTAAAAAATAAATGGGAGGTAACTTTTCAAAGTTGTATAGTTATTTTTTAAAGAATGGGATAAGTAAACAAATATTGCAAACTGTTGCTATATAAGCGCTACATTTATCAAGAAAATCAGACTTTTTTTTCTAAAATGTTTGCTATTGTTTTTTACAGCGATTTGCTGTGTTATTATCAAATTTTAGATTCCAGTATTTAAAATTATACAACTTTTTTTTTTAACAACTCACGGGCTTAAAAGAGAATGGATATACTTTATAAACTATTTTACAGCTCTAAATATTTGTCGTCTGATTTCGTTTAAAAAGTTCACCCTAATGTTATATTACTTGTAGGAAATGATGTTAACAATGTTTCCTGCTCTAATAAGAAATAACATAAAAATGGTGGGAATAGTTTTCAACCAGCGAAGAACACATTAAATGAGCTTTTGCTCTTTCAGATTCCAATTTTTTAAAAATTAGCTCCATTTCCTCAGGTATCACTTGCTTTTACAACATTATAAATATATCTACTCGCCCTGTTAATCTGAAAATAAATGGATTAAATTAAAAATTATGTTTAATTTTTCTTTTCTTAAACTACAACACATCTTTCCATTTCATTAAAAAAAATGTGGTGCTTATAAGTACCCAAACAACCTTACACTAAGCCAAAGTTTAAGGTTTAAAGTTTGAGCTTAAATATTTGGGTATGGCTAATTGAAATGAACCAAATATTCTTATGGCAGTGATTAATGTGGATTTTGAAACTATTTTTCTTTTATTACTTTTTCTCAGTTATATTTATAAGTAAGTGCAAAATAATAAAACTTGACGTTTTGCAATTTTCTTTTCTAGAGATGGGTGCAGCCCAAAGCAAGAAGAGAAGAAAGGAGAGAAAGCGAAAGAAAAGAGTACAGATGGGTTTGCCAAATTTCGATGTACCAAGGAGCGCCAGTGCCGACGTTATCAGAACCCTGAGTCTCTCATCTTCATCTTGTTTTCACTGCCAGCACCCAAGTGGCAGGAGAACTTTTTCGGGTTCACTTGAAAACTCAACAAACTTTGGCTGTGAGCGTTGTCTGCAGAGTGCCTACGATGACCTGAGATTTCCAGGAGATGGGTATGACTCTTGTCCCAGCTACTCAACATCCAATTGTTGTTTAGGTCCTGCACACGCTGGCACTGAAATGGAGAGAAGCACTATGTCTTTAAACAGAAATTTGACTGGCAACGCTTCGAGGATTGTGCAATCAAGAAGTCCAGAAATGGATGAAATTATAGACATTTTAAAGCACCATGAAAACAGGAAGAGAGAGTTATCATCCTTGCTGACATCACCTCCTTCTTTAGAGAGTTCTACTGAACAAGCTGCAAGCACCACATCACATGGGTTGACTTCAGCGCCATCTATAAAAGTTAAGAACTCGCTGGCAGTGAAGTCAGAAAGCAAAAAACCAATCACAATTCTAGAAGATGAAGAGTCTAGACTAGCCAGGTGGCAAAAACAAAAAGAAATGGCTCAGCAGTTACGAACTCTGAGGAAGCACATTCAGCTCCAAGAGGCTGAGTCTAAACATGTTGTACCCTTCCCAGTCTGTATGAGCCCGCTAGAGAATGAAACTGTAAGTAACACATCAGTTCAACCACCAGTGAATCCCATTGAGCAACACAACAGTTCAGATTTAAACCCTTCAAACACTCTTGAAAATACTCGACGATCTTTGAGGAGCAAATTCTCAAAAATGCGGAACTATCGGTATTTAGACAATCACCCTGTTTTATCAAAACTTCAGAATGAACAAAACAACAGATTGGAGAGCATGGAAAGAAGAATAAAAGAAATACGAATCAGTGCTATGCAAGAAGCAGAGAGGCGAAAGTTTGCAGAGATATTTCCTGCCAAGGAAGACAACTCAGAAAGTGAAAGGATGTTGAGGGAGGCAAAAGAGATGCTAGAGGAACTAAAGAGAGAGAAAAAAAAGAAACAAATACAGGAGGAACAGAAATCTAAAGTGCAATTACACGGTCCTTGTACCTCTGGTAGCAGGACGGAATCAAACCAAGACTTGAACAATGACTCTGTGCCGGTTGATGATTCAGGGGAGATTATTCCTGTTCACATCCTCTCAAGTCCTCGGAGAAATACAGTGAACCGAGTAATGTCACTGTTTCCACAGCAGAAGGTAGTTAAGAGTGATATTACTGTTGCCAAGCCTGGGGAACAGAACAAAAAGGCTGATTGGTTGACTAATGCTTGGCCTAATATTAACTTAAGTAAGTATAAATATCTTTTTAAACTAATTTGAGATGAATCTGTGTGGAGTTAAATACAATAGTTGTATAGCTCACTTAATATTAAAGAACAACTTCTGTTTTAAATAAATTTAAGTAGGTCTTGGTGCTAGAACAACTGTTTGTAAACTGCGGGAGGTGTGCACTAGTGCTTGGGAGGCAAGAAGAATTTCACAGAATTATAGGCCTACAGAGGACAGTGTGGTTTAGCGGTAGAGTGCTAGACTAATAACCCTAAGTCTCGAGTTAGAATCCAGGTTCAAGTGAGAAGAATGTCCCTGAGTCCACCCATCTCTGATGGGTACTTAAATCATGTTAGGGAAAGTATAGGTGGCTGGGCATAGTGCTGACCACATTATCACTTCATATGACAAGGTCAAGAAACATGAACTCTACAATCCATGGATTGCTAGGTCTAAAGAGGAATCTTTACTTTTTTAATAGGCCTACAAATTTAAAAAAATGTTATGACAATATAAGGGATATGGTTATACAGATAACTGTAATCATTGGGGTTAAATGTATCTTTTATGGGATTAGGGGAGGAAGGTGAGGTGCCAAGATATTTTTGTTTTTCATGGGAAGCAGGGTGACAAAATGTTTGGAAGCTTTTGCTCAAGTAATCTCTTCTGTTTTTTGTAAACCTCTGCTTCCCCTAAGTACAGTTTTTTGAATATGTTTATTGCTGTTTTCAATCTCTGAAAAAAAAGCTCTCTTGTGCACCGTGTGTCTACTATGAACTTAAGACAGAATTCTTTGTCTTTTTTCCAGGTCATCCTCTCACCTGGGTTCTGCTCCCGTTCCTCATGTTTCCACTGATCCTGAGATTGATCTTGTCTGTTTTCATCAGTGGCAGTAGCACTACTGGCAATACCAACACTGGCACCAGCAACACTGGCCAAGCCAAGCCAAAAAAGTGATGTTCTTGTTGCTATACAATAATATCATAATACCAATAATACCAATAATAATATAGAAATATATTTTACACACAAAAACACTACAAAAATTAATTCTGCTATAGTTATCATAAAACTATTAGAATTGTATGCATAAAGAACAATTTGCCATAATACAATATAAATATTAATTATTATATTATAATCTTGAGTGGGTAGTGCAAAATACTGCTGAAATTTTACAAACTGCTGGTGCTCTGTTATTGTTTTTGGAGACTTATGCATTTAGGAAATCAAATATGGAATCCCCAATAAAAAGCAACTCAGTAGATAGTCACTTGAGATTAACTATAGTTGAATAGCTGTTGAACAAAGAAATTGAGGAAATAGTTATAAAATGTGTATACAATCAGGCCTTCATCAAATCAGTAAAGTATAATTGAGATTTCAAAGTATAAAGAAAAAATGTTTGTGGAAGTCAAGCATTTCATTGTGTTTATATTAAAATTTTTGTTCCTAGTGTTAGATCTAATCATTGCGTTGCTTTTTATTGATTCTGTACAATCCATAAATATTCTTACTAAAACAAAATCTTCCAATTTAGTTGATAAAGCAGGTATAGATTATTTTATGTACCTTGTTTATTTAATAGCATGCAACTGTAATGTGTAAAAAGTTATTTTTATCAACCTGTTTTCAGTTATTTTTATTCATGAGAAATCTTGAAATGAAAATGATATCCCGGTGTTCATTGTTCACAAGTTTTGTTCTGTTAAAAAAAAATGATACATGATTTTTACACATTATGTTTGCTTCATATTTGAGCCATATTGATTTGTCTGCTTTATGAGAGTCTTGGCCAGTGTCAGATAATGGTCAGACTTGTGTACATAAAAATCTCATTGTGCAATATCACTGGTAACTCTATCATTTAGAGTTGTAGCTGCTCCAAAAAAAAAAACTAGATTTAAACTCCTCCCTAAAATGAGATGGAATTCAGAACTAAAATAAAATTGAATTAATAAAGCCTATTATGAATATTTAATTATATAGTATATAAGTATATATGTACATAATGCATAAGCATATAAATTACGATAACTCAGACTTGTGAGTTTTATTTTATAAGAAACTATACTCAAGTTAGTTGCCATTTGTTTAAAAGGAACCAAGCTGATAAACATTTTTATTTTTACACCCATGTTACTAATAATCTTAATTTGTGCTAATTTAAAAAAAAATTACTAATTACACCAAAGGAATCAATTAACTACTTATGAAAATTTTCCTTGCCTGTTTAAATAAGGATCTATCATCTTTATTGCAACAGACACGGTATTTACAGAGACCTTTATTTACTGGCAGATGTTAAATATTTCTGTCTATTAAATACATAATAAGTGCTATAGTCATTAGCAGTGCTTGGCTACTTAAAAAACATTTGTGATGATACTCATCTTTTTAATGGATAATTTAAAATAATTAACAAGTAATTTATTATGTTTAAGTAATAAAGTGAACTTATCAGTGTGATAAAAAAAAACTAGTCATCTATGCAGAAGAGTTGATGTATATTCCTTGATATTTATCTCGCTTGTTTGAAACATCAAATATTTATCAATCATTTGTAAAAAAAAAACATTTCTTACATTTTCTAATATTATATTTACATTTATTTTGTTTGACATATTGTAATAATTTTATTTAGCTAATATTTTGCCACTTTTGCCTTACACAAAGAAATTATTTAAAAGTACCTGAGTCTATAATATATTTATATTGATACTTTGTTTTTCAACTTAGAATATGATATAATTTTTAATATTTGATGTTTTAGAAAAAGAAATCTGTGAATTTTTATTGAGGCTGTTTTTTTAAGTAAATATCAAAATTTGGCATGTTTGAAACAAATTGAATTGTTAATTATTTAATGTAAAACATTATTCATTATATCTTTATACTAGTGATTTATCCTCATAGTATTAACAATCTTTCAGGGCTATATGCAATGGGCTAGTAATATTCACAAGTTTTGGCTTTGGCTCAACTTCATGGTATTTAGAGTTACCTTTTTTTTTGCAACTCTTTAAATTAAGAAAGGAGATTTTTATATTGAAAAAAAACCTCTTTATAGAATTACACATTAAAAACCTATTTATTGATGCTGCATAATAGGACATAGATTAGAATTTTCTGATCATAACAAAAATTATTTGTTTAAAACAAATAGTCCAATTTTCTTTTAAATTTGCTCAATTGAAAAAGTTAATATAGCAATTGAATGAAAATCCCTGCTTTAACTTTAAACTGCCCAGATATTTCAGTTCAGCCCAGTACCCTTTTCTTTATCTTTTACTTAAATTTTAGTTAATTAACTAAAACCCTCTCCATTATCAGCAATTCCATGTATATTCTTTGATGAAAATTAATGTATTTAAAACATCAGAATAAAAAAAAATTGAATCCCCTATGATAATTGAATAATGTTTTTTTAAACAAATCACCATACTTTCAAGATGGTAATACTGTTTTCATTTTACGGGTATAAATATTTCATTTCAACTTTGGCGGAGATTATTTTATGTATTTTTTACTGAAATAATTTTAATTTATTTTAAAAAGGGGCCGTATTCATACATTTATTTTTAAAGTTAGCAATTTTTCAACTGCAAAACTTTTTTTTAAAACTATAAATGGGCTTTGAAAGACTTAAAACATTTTGTGACTAAGAAATTAACAGATCTTATATTAACATTTTAAAATCACCAACAAAAAAGAATAAAAGAAATGTTTAGTTGTTCTTTTTTGCAAAAATCAGTTAATTAGGTTTTTAGATTTTTAAAATAAGACAAGCTTTTTAAAAATGATAAATTTAAAAAAAAAAAGCATTTTCAATTTTTAAACAAAAATTGTAAGACCTCAAGTTGTTTAATAATTAAAATTGATTTTATCAAATTATTTTGTGAAAGAATACTTGTTTAAGATTACAAGACTATCGCCAAAATGTTTGTCTTATGTTATAGTTGACTTGTCATTTTTGTATATACATCATCCTGTGCAATATTTTAACCATCAGCATACCATTATTCAACTCTATCTAACACTTCTGTATAGTAATTTATACACAGAAAACATTTCTATATAGAGGAAAAGGCAACATTATTGCAAAAGTCTTGAGAGATCTGTTAGCCAACATCTTTACACTGTTGTAGGAACAAGAGCTGACAAACTTTTATTAACTCCTGTATTCCTGATAGAGTTACTCCCCCTCAAATGTACCCAAAGTAGTTTTCATGTAAAGTAGTTGTGTACTATCCTTAGCTTGTATATAATATATATAATGTAGAAATTATAGGTTTGGTTGTGTACATATAATGTTTATATTCTCATTAGTTTAGTGTATTTTAAAGGATATAACCTTGACCTTCTAATGAGTTCAGTTATCAAAATAAAATTCCACCAAACATATTCATAATTAATATTTTAGAATATGCATGACTGATATTATAAAAATAATTTTTTTTTCTGCTCATAAAGAAGTTAAAAAGCCACTTGAATTGTATTTAACAATGTTTTTTTTTTCTTTTTAAAAACTAGAGGACCTAATACTTTAATTATTGGATATATTCTTCTTACTTGGATATATTCCTCGGATTCATTTGACTCAATAGAAAGTCAAGTGTTGTATGCCAAGTATTATGACTGTAGTTCAAGGTACTAGTTTTGTGCACATTTAAGTTTGAGATGTTACAAATGACAGTATTATCTTTTGTTTCACACTTATTATTTCTATCTGCTAATTTTAGTATTACCATTAATATGACAACTATTCATTTAGCATAATATAAGACATTGATGCATTTGAAATACTAATAAAAGTATGTATTTTAAAATCTTATGCTAACCTTTATATTTTGTGAGTATTTGAGAGTATTTTGTTTAGCATTAGATAATTAAGATGAATATAAGAATGGTGATACCCACATCAATGAGACCTCACATTAAGTTCAGATATAAACAAAGGTTATGATTGGTCAGAAAATCCTTACAAGATCTGTGTCCACAGATGCCATTTAAAGCTCTGTATAATAATTTCTTACATTATCACTTCCAAAGTAAAAAATAAATAATCATTCAGACCCTGGAAGAGAAAGTAGAGTTAAGCAATTTCTTAAGCCTTGACTTGTAAGGGATTGTGTGGTGAGATGTCTTTACTTTCCCTGACAAGAGTCAAGTACCCATCAGAGCTGTCTTAGATATCTTAGAGACTCGAACCTAAATCTTGTATTCCACCATTCAAACCCCTCATAGTGCCACTCTATGAAAAATACGTAACCTGTGCAGAAAATAATTCATATAGAAAACAAATAGATTCCCTACATTTATAAAAAACAACAACAGTGGATAGAACTCTTGAACATTCATGTTTAATGACAATTGAATACTACTGGGAAAAAAATTACATTGAAATATACATTTTATTCCTTAACCTTCATATCATGAAGATGAAGACAAATCATTATTGTCATAACAATAAACAAACTAATAAAAGCAGTTTAAATTAGTTTGTGATCAATGCATTAAAAAACTTAAATATCATTTTGAAAATATCAACGGCCTAACTAAAAGTTAAATGTAAACTATAAATTGTGTTCTAGTCAAGATTGAAATACTCAGAACTTGTAGAACACATCAACTTAGTATGGATTTCAAATGTGTTTTTGTTGTTTTCAAGAAAGATAAAATAAAAATGATTTCCTCACTGTTAATGCTTAGGGCAGCACAACTCATCCTTGAATGTTTACAACTGATTTTTCTTGAATGTTTACAACTGATTTTTTCTTTCATAACACAATGCATACAACAATAGATGGACTTAATCAATTCTCATTCGTTTGAAATTGATATTCTCATTGACAGGCCATCTTTTACCATCACAATTCTGTAACATTTTAAAAACCATGTAAACATGGGTTAACTTGCAGCACAACAAAAAATATAAATAAATTCAAGTTATTTAGTAAATTAAAAGAATCAAGTGAAGGTTAATAAAAGGAATTACAAGTTTGTAACAAATTCCCTGACTGTTCAGTATTTTTCCTTTCAACATGCACTGGTATAAACTAACATGGGTTTTTTTCTAAATAAAAAACTGTAATTTTTTAAAACTGATGATTAATAACAAAAAATCTGGACACCAAAAATCTTGCAGATGTCCAGATTCAGCAACCAAACTAAAAAAAAAAGCAACAATATGAAATATCAGAAATCTTTTTTTAAGATACTAGTTGGACAATTGAACACAAACATTGTGTTTTGATGAGCTTGCTGTGAGGAATAAATTACTGTTGTATTTACAGCTATTTTATACAAACATTTATTCACCAAACATAGGCATGGTTTGACTTACTTCCCCCCAGTATCTGTGCAACTATTTTAAAACAAACTGTCTAACTCTCCTGGATGTTTGAGTACAACCCAGAGCTCACACAGTGAATCAAACTAGCAGGAGACAGCTGAGCCACATTAACATTATGTATGAAGTGGGAGTAATAACAAGCGCTAAACATTCTCTGTGGGCTATTAGATAATAAAACTTTTATACTATATATATACATATAATATATAACATATTGTATATATATATATATATATATATATATATCTATGTATAATCATATATATATATATATGTATAATCATATATATATATATGTATATAAATACATATGTATATAAACTTTATCTCTCACTCCTATGCTAAATCATCTAATAGTTATAACATTTTTAAAAATGCATTTTTAGATCATAATCTAAGCAAATTTAATATATTTTTAAACAAATCATTATTTAACTTTGTCATTGTATGTATAACCTAAAAGTTAATTAATACTTATTATTCTTTTGTACCTCCACTTCATATAGTTCGAGTAGTTAATATGTGCAACTTTGTACCAGAGCAATTAGAACAATTCTTTTATCAAATTTCACATGTTAAACAAACCTAACAGATGATCCTCTTTAATTTGAAAAAAAAAAATGTCAGTTAAACTTGTTTTAAATATTAAAAAAAACAAAAAACAAGAACCCAAAATATGAGTTAAGTCAAATTTTAAGCAACAGCTGAATTAAGCTATCTTGTATATCCCCCCTCCCCCTCACCAAAGCAATGTAATGTGTTTAAGGATAATGAATTATTTAATAAATATCTTATGAATAAGTAATGAATTGCATCATGGGACATAGTCACAAGACTATTAGCATAGGTGATACATTTATTTCAAACATGTAACAACACATTGAATGGATATTTACAGTAGATATAGTTATTTTTCAATCATAATATGGAAACTAATAACAAAAATAGATGATTTAAGTAGATACAAAAGTCAATTACTGAAATCCTTTAAAAAAACCAAACATTTTTTAATGCAAGAAAGAAACTATAGTTTTCATGTTTATTAAACAAAATATAATTTTGAACACGAAGTTTATGTATTCTAAGAAGCAAAAATTTTTTTTTCCCTCCATTAAACTATACTTTTGTATTCAATCAAAAAAGTATTTAAATCTTAAAAAGGGTTAACATCTTTTTAAACAAATTGAAATACTATGTAATGAAAACAGTTGGTAAAGTTTATAATCTCAAGCTTTAAACAAAGGCTTGTGAAAGAATTCAATTTTCAGTTTTTCTTGGAGGCCATGGTTTGATAATAACAGATATGCACAGCTAAATAATCAACTGATAAAATATCTGGGTAGGAGAAGATTTGCTTGCTTTGAGCACACAAAAAGAAATAATGATAATTTTAAGCATGTATAAATAAAAAACAAGACTGTAAATAATTCAAATCCAATTCATTAGCATCAGTACACTGCAGTTTTATTAAAACTACATGAGCGCCAAGAATTGTAAACTAAATTCACTGTAATCAATACAATGCTGCTTGGTTGTTGTAAAATAAAAGAAATTGATCTTGAATGAAATTTGTGTGTGGTGAGTTTCCACACAATTTTTTATATTAGCTTTGTTTTGACAGTTAAAAATAGATTTTGAAATATAAAAATAATCTGAACTTTGTATTCAAAGCTACGACAACAACAACCTGATTCTATGTACACAACTAGCTAATGTGTCAAGGGAGATAATCTCATAATAGGCTAGAGACTACAGGTCCTACATGTCTAGGTGTCCTACACACCTTAAGGATGTCCTACACACCTAGGCGATGTCCTACAAGTCTAGAAGGTGTCCTATTTATATAGGATATGTTCTAACCAGCAAAGATGTAAGTAAATGTCTGATTCACATCCTACAATTTGATACATGGGATAGACATTTTACAATAGACCAACCTTAAGAACTAAGATGTGTTCTACACATATTTGATGTATATTAGTGCTCAAAGAAATGTCTAACTGATCAAAGAAATGTCTTACTGATCAAAGAAATATCTTACTGATCAAAGAAATGTCTAACTGATCAAAGAAATGTCTAACTGATCAAATAAATGTCTTACTGATCAAAGAAATGTCTAACTGATCAAAGCATTGTCTAACTGATCTAAGCAATGTCTAACTGATAAAAAAAATGTCTTACTGATCAAAAAAATGTCTTACTGATCAAAAAAAATGTCTTACTGATCAAAGAACTGTTTTCAATATAAAACACACAAAATAAATAATGCTAAGTAATAGGGAGCAAACAAGTTTTCTTGCTGAGAGAATACTGCACTTATAGCCCCTTGATACTCATCTTCCCAATAAATTTGTTCCTTTAAATCCCTCTTCTGGTCTTGTAGGAACTGAAATATTTGTAATCACATTTTAATACTAATAATTTTTTTTACTATTTAGTTCTTTAAAATCTCTCTTCCTTTACAATACATTTTACCATTTACATACAGATAAAATTAAAACATTTCTTCTTTAAGAAAAGCATTTAATTGTGAATCTTATAGAGCAATGCACCACGACCATAAATAACAGAAGAAAAATAAAATCTTACAAGAACAACATAATTTTACCACACACTAACAACTGATGTACTCACCACTTAAAAAGTCCTCGACTGATGCTGCTGTTTCTGTTGGTTCATCAGCCTGATTGTGACAACAAATTTTCATCATTTTATTTCTGACATTCAGTTTTTGTTCATTTTCATAATTTTATTTCTGACATTCAGTTTTTGTTTGTTTTTATCAATCTATTTCTGACTTTCAGTTTATGTTCGTTTTTATCAAATTATTTCTGACTTTCAGTTTTTGTTCGTTTTTATCATTTTATTTCTGAATTTCAGTTCTTTAGCTTTGACCAAAAAGTGTTATTAATTTAATTCTGACAAAGTTTTTTGTTTTTATTTTTCAACAAATTTTTATCAATTTATTTAAGAAAATCAAATTTTTTTTAGTAATTTTGACACTAAGTTTTTATCATTTTGTTTCCAACATTCAATTTTTAAAAACTTTTTGACAATCAAATTCTGCTTTTATGTCTGATAATCAACTTTTGTCCTCTATTTCTTTACAGCTATTAACACACAAAAAACCAAGGACAGTTTTAATTTGAAGATTTAAAAATTTACCTAACTCTAAAATCATTAATAGTTCTAAACAACAGTTCATATATTAGTTTCAGATTATTATTACACAAAAACAGGTGACTTTATTTCATCAGCCCAGTAAAATATCTGAAATGGGTTATTTCTGTGATATTAGTGCTAATGGTTCATTTTACAGAATCGTCAGCAAAAGGTAGAACACCAGTTTCATTAAGACACCTGCATGTCTGAGATATCTTATATGGGCAAAGTCACTTAAGTAGATTTCAATCATTCACAATTACTTAGTAAGATTTTAAGTCTATTTTTATCAATTATATTATTGGTGTGACTCACTAAGTATAAATTATATGTTACATTTTTTTTTCATTTAAAATTTTTTAAGTTTCTTATCTGAATCTTTAAAGTTCCAAAGTAATAAGTGAGAGTTTACCTTAAGAAAAATAACACACTGTGGGTAGACTTTGAGGTCTTGTAATGTCAGCTCATCGTTCTTAAGACATCTGCCATCTAGTGAAAGGTTTTGATCAAAGGGTGGAACACTGCATAGGTTGTAAAGCTGGAGACAGAAGGCATAGGTTATAAACCTGGAATTTTCACAAAAGCAGTTTTAAAATAGCTAAACTAATGAATTCAACAAATTAGGCTCCTAATCGCAGAAATGTATGATTAATTTACAACAAAATCAATAGATCACTGCTACTAACTCCAGCAAGCATGGCCAGAATTATATATTAACGACATACCCCAGCCTAACTACAGTATGTCCATATAAAGACATACCCCAGCCTAACTACAGTATGTTCATTAAACCACAAAGCACAAGCTAGCCTGTGTAATATCAGACCTGTATTTTAAGTTCTTTAAGCCTGTGTAATATCAGACCTGTATTTTAAGCCTGTGTAATATCAGACCTGTATTTTAAGCCTGTGTAATATCAGACCTGTATTTATAGCCTATGTAATAAGCCTGTGTAATATCAGACCTGTATTTTAAGTTCTTTAAGCCTGTGTAATATCAGACCTGTATTTTAAGCCTATGTAATATCAGACCTGTATTTTAAGTTCTTTAAGCCTGTGTAATATCAGACCTGTATTTTAAGCCTAAGTAATATCAGACCTGTATTTTAAGCCTGTGTAATATCAGACCTGTATTTTAAGTTCTTTAAGCCTGTGTAATATCAGACCTGTATTTTAAGCCTATGTAATATCAGACCTGTATTTTAAGTTCTTTAAGCCTGTGTAATATCAGACCTGTATTTTAAGCCTATGTAATATCAGACCTGTATTTTAAGCCTATGTAATATCAGACCTGTATTTTAAGCCTATGTAATATCAGACCTGTATTTTAAGCCTATGTAATATCAGACCTGTATTTTAAGTTCTTTAAGCCTGTGTAATATCAGACCCGTATTTTAAGCCTGTGTAATATCAGACCTGTATTTTAAGTTCTTTAAGCCTATGTAATATCAGACCTGTATTTTAAGCCTGTGTAATATCAGACCTGAATTTTAAGTTCTTTAAGCCTGTGTAATATCAGACCTGTATTTTAAGCCTGTGTAATATCAGACCTGTATTTTAAGCCTGTGTAATATCAGACCTGTATTTTAAGTTCTTTAAGCCTGTGTAATATCAGACCTGTATTTTAAGCCTATGTAATATCAGACCTGTATTTTAAGTTCTTTAAGCCTGTGTAATATCAGACCTGTATTTTAAGTTCTTTAAGCCTATGTAATATCAGACCTGTATTTTAAGCATGTGTAATATCAGACCTGTATTTTAAGTTCTTTAAGCCTATGTAATATCAGACCTGTATTTTAAGCCTGTGTAATATCAGACCTGAATTTTAAGTTCTTTAAGCCTGTGTAATATCAGACCTGTATTTTAAGCCTATGTAATATCAGACCTGTATTTTAAGCATGTGTAATATCAGACCTGTATTTTAAGTTCTTTAAGCCTGTGTAATATCAGACCAGAATTTTAAGTTCTTTAAGCCTGTGCAATATCAGACCTGTATTTTAAGTTCTTTAAGTGCATGTAATATCAGACCTGTATTTTAAGTTCTTTAAGCCTGTGTAATATCAGACCTGTATTTTGAGCCTGTGTAATATCAGACCTGTATTTTGAGTTCTTTAAACCTGTGTAATATCAGACCTGTATTTTGAGTTCTTTAAGCCTGTGTAATATCAGACCTGTATTTTAAGCCTATGTAATATCAGACCTGTATTTTGAGTTCTTTAAGCCTGTGTAATATCAGACCTGTATTTTAAGTTCTTTAAGCCTATGTAATATCAGACCTGTATTTTAAGCCTATGTAATATCAGACCTGTATTTTAAGTTCTTTAAGCCTGTGTAATATCAGACCTGTATTTTAAGCCTATGTTATATCAGACCTGTATTTTAAGCCTATGTAATATCAGACCTGTATTTTAAGCCTGTGTAATATCAGACCTGTATTTTAAGCCTATGTAATATCAGACCTGTATTTTAAGTTCTTTAAGCCTGTGTAATATCAGACCTGTATTTTAAGCCTATGTAATATCAGACCTGTATTTTAAGCCTATGTAATATCAGACCTGTATTTTAAGCCTGTGTAATATCAGACCTGTATTTTAAGCCTATGTAATATCAGACCTGTATTTTAAGTTCTTTAAGCCTATGTAATATCAGACCTGTATTTTAAGTTCTTTAAGCCTGTGTAATATCAGACCTGTATTTTAAGCCTATGTAATATCAGACCTGTATTTTAAGCCTATGTAATATCAGACCTGTATTTTAAGCCTGTGTAATATCAGACCTGTATTTTAAGCCTATGTAATATCAGACCTGTATTTTAAGTTCTTTAAGCCTATGTAATATCAGACCTGTATTTTAAGTTCTTTAAGCCTGTGTAATAGTAATATCAGGCCTGTATTTTAAGCCTATGTAATATCAGACCTGTATTTTAAGCCTGTGTAATATCAGACCTGTATTTTAAGTTCTTTAAGCCTGTGTAATATCAGACCTGTATTTTAAGCATGTGTAATATCAGACCTGTATTTTAAGTTCTTTAAGCCTGTGTAATATCAGACCTGTATTTTAAGTTCTTTAAGCCTGTGTAATATCAGACCTGTATTTTAAGCCTGTGTAATATCAGACCTGTATTTTAAGTTCTTTAAGCCTGTGTAATATCAGACCTGTATTTTAAGCCTATGTAATATCAGACCTGTATTTTAAGTTCTTTAAGCCTATGTAATATCAGGCCTGTATTTTAAGCCTATGTAATATCAGACCTGTATTTTAAGCCTGTGTAATATCAGACCTGTATTTTAAGCCTATGTAATATCAGACCTGTATTTTAAGTTCTTTAAGCCTGTGTAATATCAGACCTGTATTTTAAGTTCTTTAAGCCTGTGTAATATCAGACCTGTATTTTAAGTTCTTTAAGCCTGTGTAATATCAGACCTGTATTTTAAGCCTATGTAATATCAGACCTGTATTTTAAGTTCTTTAAGCCTGTGTAATATCAGACCTGTATTTTAAGTTCTTTAAGCCTATGTAATATCAGACCTGTATTTTAAGTTCTTTAAGCCTGTGTAATATCAGACCTGTATTTTAAGTTCTTTAAGCCTATGTAATATCAGACCTGTATTTTGAGTTCTTTAAGCCTATGTAATATCAGACCTGTATTTTAAGTTCTTTAAGCCTATGTAATATCAGACCTGTATTTTGAGTTCTTTAAGCCTATGTAATATCAGACCTGTATTTTAAGTTCTTTAAGCCTATGTAATATCAGACCTGTATTTTAAGTTCTTTAAGCCTATGTAATATCAGACCTGTATTTTAAGCCTATGTAATATCAGACCTGTATTTTAAGCCTATGTAATATCAGACCTGTATTTTAAGTTCTTTAAGCCTGTGTAATATCAGACCTGTATTTTAAGTTCTTTAAGCCTGTGTAATATCAGACCTGTATTTTAAGCCTATGTAATATCAGGCCTGTATTTTAAGTTCTTTAAGCCTGTGTAATATCAGACCTGTATTTTAAGCCTATGTAATATCAGGCCTGTATTTTTAGCCTATATAATATCAGACCTGTATTTTAAGTTCTTTAAGCGTCATGTTGGATGAAACAACCAACTCCTTCTCCCCCCTGGTCTTCCTGTGTCTGGAACTTTTTCTTGGTGCCACAGTGTCCAGCTTGGCCATCTTCTCTGGGGGTGGCTCAATGCTCTTACATTTAGCTGGTTTCTGGTGGGGCTGGGGAAAAAACAAACACACCTTAGTCAATACCTTAAAGCTTATGTCATTTAAAGGTTGAGCACATTTCTTTGTTCTTAACTGATATACTGGAGGGGTTTTCCTCAAACACAAATATTTCCTGTCATAGCCTTTGTCCACCTAAGAAAAAACTACAATTCAGCAGTTGTTTCTTCTTCTTCTTCGTTCTTAATTATTAGTGTTGAAGGGGATCGAGATTTATCTGCCAGTGGGTTTGAACTCGAGACTTTGTTCGAATTTATCCACCATGAGCTTTATGCCGACTCGACCACGCCTTCAACACAATTAAGCGTTACGTGTCAACTGGTTATGCGCCATTGAGGCCATTGACTCCGATTTCAGCCTGCTTTTCTTTTTGGATTTGCTTCCATAGCCTTTGTCCAACCAAGAACAAACTACAAGGCAGCAGTTGTTTAATTTTGGCGTTGTCTCTCCTAGAAGAGTGGCTGTCCCCAGCTAACGAGCCTCATCTGCCCGAGGGTTCGAACTCGAGACTTTTCGGTTTAGCAACCATGAGCTTTACCGACTCTACCACCAAGCCTCATCTGCCTGTTCTGAGCTCTGGATTTTTGGAGTTTTTTTTAGTTAGCAATCATACGATTTCCTGCCAGACTACACCGTCCCCAAATGTCCAAAGTCTAGAGTTAGGTTTTAGGCTAACCATCCCTGAGTTCACTCAGCTCTGGTAAGTACCTGACTTGAGTTAATAATTGGAACATTGTTGGGCATAGTGTTGACCATTCTATTCCTTTACAAGTTGGGTTCAAAGTAACAGATGAACTCACTGCCAAGTCCCATAGGGTGCTTTATTTTACTTAAGACACTTTCAGATAGGTGAAAATCTGTGAATCTTAAAAAAACTGATTAAAAGGATGGATGAAATCTAATCTTACAGGGGCGTTAAATTCTGGATCATAGTTGTATCCCTTTCCATTTTCCTTTGGCTCGTCTCCCCTACAGTTGATCTCACTGTTGCTCCCATCCAGGACTTTCCTGACGTAGATGGTCTGCCGGGAGAAGATAAACTTCCCTTCTTCTTCCTGACGGATTCTCTCATTCAGACATGTGCTACAGACTCCTGAAACATCATCAGAACATTAGACAGAGCTACGATATGTAATTTTAAAATTTTAATGTAATTAATTTAAATTAAATGGAAAACTTAATTGGGTAAGAAAAAAATTATACAAGGTGTTTCCTTTTCCATTAGCCCCACTATTGGACCATATAATATTGTACAAAATACAGTGGAATAGTGCTTGGGTTCATCGAATAAGAGCTGTTTGAACAAGTGGCATAGCTGTACCAGCTGTGACATGGCTGGACCAGCTGTGACATGACTGGACCAGCTGTGACATGACTAGACCAGCTGTGCCATGACTGGACCAGCTGTGCCATGACTAGACCAGCCGTGACATGACTGTACCAGCTGTAACATGACTGTACCAGCTGTGACATGACTAGACCAGCTGTGCCATGACTGGACCAGCTGTGACATGACTAGACCAGCCGTGACATGACTGTACCAGCTGCAACATGACTGTACCAGCTGTGAAATGACTGGACCAGCTGTGCCATGACTGGACCAGCTGTGCCATGACTGTACCAGCTGTGCCATGACTGTACCAGCTGTGCTATGACTGTACCAGCTGTGACATGACTGGACCAGCTGTGACATGACTGTACCAGCTGTGACATGACTGTACCAGCTGTGCTATGACTGTACCAGCTGTGACATGACTGTACCAGCTGTGACATGACTGTACCAGCTGTGCTATGACTGTACCAGCTGTGACATGACTATCAACTGTGACATGACTGTACCAGCTGTGACATGACTGTACCAGCTGTGACATGACTGTACCAGCTGTGCTATGACTGTACCAGCTGTGCTATGACTGTACCAGCTGTGACATGACTACCAACTGTGACATGACTGTACCAGCCGTGACATGACTGTACCAGCTATGACATGACACTACCAGCTGTGACATGGCTGGACCAGCTGTACCATGACTGTACCAGCTGTGACATGATTGGACCAGCTGTGCCATAACTGTACCAGCTGTGACATGACTAGACCAGCTGTGACATGACTGTACCAGCTGTGACATGACTAGACCAGCTGTGACATGACAGTACCAGCTGTGACATGACTGTACCAGCTGTAACATGACTGTATCAGCTGTAACATGACTGTACCAGCTATGACATGACACTACCAGCTGTGACATGATTGGACCAGCTGTGCCATAACTGTACCAACTGTGACATGACTAGACCAGCTGTGACATGACTGTACCAACTGTGACATGACTGTACCAGCTGTAACATGACTGTACCAGCTATGACACTACCAGCTGTGACATGATTGGACCAGCTGTGACATGACTAGACCAGCTGTGACATGACTGTACCAACTGTGACATGACTGTCCCAGCTGTAACATGACTGTACCAGCTATGACATGACTGTACCAGCTATGACACTACCAGCTGTGACATGATTGGACCAGCTGTGACATGACTAGACCAGCTGTGACATGACTGTACCAACTGTGACATGACTGTCCCAGCTGTAACATGACTGTACCAGCTATGACATGACACTACCAGCTGTGACATGGCTGGACCAGCTGTACCATGACTGTACCAGCTGTGACATGACTGGACCAGCTATGACATGACTGGACCAACTGTGACATGACTGTACCAGCTGTGCTATGACTGTACCAGCTGTGACATGACTACCAACTGTGACATGACTGGACCAGCCGTGACATGACTGTACCAGCTGTGACATGATTGGACCAGCTGTGCCATAACTGTACCAGCTGTGACATGACTAGACCAGCTGTGACATGACTGTACCAGCTGTGACATGACTAGACCAGCTGTGACATGACTGTACCAGCTGTGACATGACTGTACCAGCTGTAACATGACTGTACCAGCTATGACATGACACTACCAGCTGTGACATGATTGGACCAGCTGTGCCATAACTGTACCAACTGTGACATGACTAGACCAGCTGTGACATGACTGGACCAACTGTGACATGACTGTACCAGCTGTAACATGACTGTACCAGCTATGACACTACCAGCTGTGACATGATTGGACCAGCTGTGACATGACTAGACCAGCTGTGACATGACTGTACCAACTGTGACATGACTGTCCCAGCTGTAACATGACTGTACCAGCTATGACATGACACTACCAGCTGTGACATGGCTGGACCAGCTGTACCATGACTGTACCATCTGTGACATGACTGGACCAGCTGTGACATGACTAGACCAGCTGTGACATGACTGTACCAGCTGTGACATACATGACTACAAACTGTGACATGACTACCAACTGTGACATGACACTACCAGCTGTGACATGACACTACCAGCTGTGACATGACACTACCAGCTGTGACATGACACTACCAGCTGTGACATGACACTACCAGCTGTACCATGACTGTACCAGCTGTGACATGAATGGACCAGCTGTGACATGACACTACCAGCTGTAACATGACTGTACCAACTTTGACATGACTGTACCAGCTGTGACATGACTGGACCAGCTGTGACATGACACTACCAGCTGTGACATGACACTACCAGCTGTGACATGACACTACCAGATGTGACATGACAATACCAGCTGTAACATGACTGTACCAGCTGTGACATGACAGTACGGGCTACAGCTAAACTTTCACCATAATTAATTAAAACATCCTGTCTACAACCACGAGTGTAAGAATTCTTTACTACCAGGTAGAGTGACCACTTGTTTGGAGCCATCAGCTTCTGTGAACTGCATTACCTGGATCTCCTCATCAAAAGCAAAATACCTGGTCAACTTCTGCCACTCTTCATCCCAAACCAGAGTAAACCTATAAAAAACCAGAGTAAACCTATAAAAAACCAGAATCAACTTATTTTTAAAATCAGGTAAACCTACAACAAACCAGAGTAAACCTTACAACAAACAAAACATATAAACAATAGACTAAAGTAGACCTATAATAAACATGAATAAACCTACATCAACAATAAAATTTAATGTTAAACTCTTTCAAGACATTATGATGATTTGTAAGGCCAAGTGTAAAACACATCCATCTATGTAACTTTGGTATCTAAGCTGCTTACAAAATTGACCATCATAATACTATAATGTGTATTTGATTTTATCAACTTATTGTTAAAAAATCTAAGATTTAAATAATCTTTATAAATAAAAACCCAAAAGGGGATCTCTTTTTAAAAATAATAGACCTTTGTTTCATTAAAGTAAAAATTTGTTGGCAATGACTATTTTAAAACTACTTTTAAAGTTTAAATGAGGTTATTTTTGAGTGATACACAAGGTCAAGACTGTTGTCAAGGTCATTCCACAATTTTATAAGTCATATTTTGGGGAGTTTAAATGTGTAGTTCACACATTCTTATAAATTATAATACAAAAGCCTTAATCATAAACAAAGTCTCTAAAAAAATCTGTTTCAATTCTGACATTACAGAAAAAGAAATTTTAAAATGGTTTCATTTTTTTTCCCCAAGTACACTAACAAAAAAATGATAGGTGACGGCAATGATCTTGACAATATGTAAAACAGGCAAAACTATGATGGGACGTAAAAATATAAAAAATCTAGGCCGGCACATTGGCCAAGCTTTTGAACACATTAACTTGATCCAATATCAGATATCCTTTTTTAAGTTCAATTTTTACAAGATAATAATAGAGTGTGCAGGTACAATTGTTGGAATAAAAAAAAATCACCTTGTGGCGTTGTCTGGTGCGTTCATATCCTCAGGCTTATACAGCAACAGGTTGTGTTCACACAGCAATGGGGCATTGACAATCTCTTGGACAGATTCACTTTTCACTGAATGCCTGAACAAAAAAAATTAGTCAGTATTAAAATGTATTACTTATAAAGTACTTTTATACTATAAAATATTTTTTTAACTTAGTTAATCTTAAAAGACAGTAAGTTATTTCCATTTCATAGATTTAGTTTGCAAACTCTATTCAAATTTAACTTGTGTCTGTATATTGGAACTAAGCAAGTTAAATGTACACAAAAATAGAAAGTAAATTTAAGATTTAGAACAAAATCAATGTAGAAAAATAAATAAAGTAAACTGCTGGCTAAATAATGTATTAAATTGCGGATTAAAATTGTAAATAAAACAACTAAATAGCTTTTAAATAAATTTAAAAATAATGATGCTTAGGTTATTAAACAAGACAGTGCTTGTATGCATTTTAATAAATGACTTCCTTGGAGCTTTACTAAAGTAAAAGTTCCCTTTCAAACCTGCAGTCTATGGGGCAAGTGAAGTAGAGTTCACTTGTTTCTGTGACCTCGGCAAATGAAGAGATAGTGTGGTCAGCACTATGCCCAGCCATCTTTACTTTCCCTAACATGAGTTAGGTACCCATCAGAGTTGGGTGAACTCAGGGACGGTCTACTGACTTGAACTCGGATTCGAACTCTTGACTTACGGGTTAGCAGTCCAGCTCTCTACTGCTAGACCACTCCGTCCCTTGGAGCTTTACTAGGACAGGCTTTAACTTGGACATGTGGTAAAAGACTTACTTGACAAACTTGCGCCACCCATCAACAAAGTTAGCACTGACGACATAAGCTGTCCTCTCCTCCCAGCTGTCTCCAATCTTGGGGCGGTTCTTCATGTGATACAGATTCTGCAGGTCATCTTTCTGACCTTGACCTGCCAACTTCCTGTCCTCCTTCTTCTGCTGTTCTATGAGCTGGTGTGACTGTATTAAGACCAGAACAAACTTTTTTTTTATCTCCAACCTAGTGAGAAGGTTATTTTCTGTAAAATTCTTCCTGCTTCTCCAGTGTAAAATAAACCTTTAAAAACTCCCAAACATCCAGTAGGATTGTAGTATTAATTGGGAAACCAGTAAGCATTTGAGTCTACCCATGTTTTTTAAAGTCAAACTTGTCAAAATATCTCTATCAATAAAAGCATATATTTCTAATCAAAACTTGTTTTAAAAACAAATAAATAGATCTTTGTAAACCAATTCCGACCTTTTTTTTCTTCTGAATTTGCCATAAAAAAATTAATTACCTTTAAAAATTAAAAAAATAAAATTTCTGTATATTACTATACTTCAATTGAATTCAATGTGAGTATAGTGAAGTTACATCTTAAAGTGTAAAAATACCAAAAGTACAATTCAAATATTGTAAACCCTCACCAGACATTCTTCACAAACTGATGAAGACATATTAAATGGCTTCAAATGTGGAAAATAATAAACTAGTCGATCCCAAACAGTCTTGGATACAGCTCGTCTACCACTCTCATCAATTCTAAGATTGCCTGAAATATAATTAAAATAATTGTTTTATTTGAACGAAAACATGGGTCTCTTTGTACTAATATTCATTTTTTTTATTATTTTTTTTTTATTTAAAAAAAGACAATTAGGTTGTTATTATTTTTTAAAATGTTTTTTTGGACGTGTGAGAAATTAAACTCATTTTTCAAAATCTTATTTTATACTTGTATACACATGTTCTAAAACTGAATTGTTTATAAGCCACCAACCTAGATTAAAATGTTTAAACATTCAGTTTACTGGACATAAAAATCTTTTTTATGTCCATAAACCAATACAAACTTTTCAACCAGTAATTTCTTTTTAAAGTATCAGCTAGCAAAACGTGCATACATTGCACTTTCATTCAGGGTTCAGAACCCATGTTGCCATTGTAAATGTTTTTATTTCTTCTCCCCCCCCCCCTCCACCCTAGCAGGTTCCCATCGCACATCACTGATTGCACACGAGGAAAACAAGCGGGTACTCACCATGTTCACAGAGTATATCGTCGTTAAATTTTTCCTCCTTTTCCCCCACATACAGGCAATCTTTCCTTCCCTCCTCCCCACTCCCCTCCTGGTCATCCTCATTATCCACCATCCCATTGCTCCTCTTTCGGCCAGACTGACCCTCCAGGCTCAGCTCCTCTATCCCCTTCTCCGATACAGTGTTTTCTAAAAGCGGCATTGTTTTTTTCAGCACAATAGTCCCACTTTCTGGGCTCTCACAATCGTCCATTCCATCCTCGTCAAAAGTACTGTCCTTGATCCCACCGTTATCTGAAGGTGAACCCTTTGGTGAGAGGGTAGTGTTTCGAAACAAATTTTCACTGCTGTTCGTCCATAGCTTATGAGAGCCATGCATAGCATTTGCATCAGTTATTTTAGTATTGTATGCATCTCTGCTTGGTGGAGACAAATCTGGTGAGATGTTCATAATTTCTGAAGATTTTGAATACCGGGGGGATGACTGTACAGTGTTGTTTTCTGGAGATTTCAAGTCTAGGTGGGATGAATTTACAGGGAGATCAGAAGCTGGCAGAACAGCAGCAAGTCTGCCTGCCAAACCAGCTTGCTCTGGTGGATAATCACAGGGAACACAAATATTCTGCTCTTCTTGGCTACTGTTGTTCAAATTACAACTTGAAGAGGCGGATGAGGACGAGGCTTCCTGGTCTGAAGAGGCGCCAGACGATGGATGTGTGTCATCATTCAATGAAGAGGAACTTGCAACAGGATGAATGGCAATTTCCTCCATTGCATACTTTTTCCAACTGCGTAAATGCTTTGTGCTGACCCAAAAGTATTCCTCTCTTTAAAAAAGAAATCAGTAAATAGGGTTATGACCATACTTTAATTTGTAGCTTTTCAATCAAGATTGCACATTTAATAATGTATAATATAGGAATTTATAACTATAAAAAAAGAATGAACCTACCCAGGATCTAAAATACTGATATTTTTTGAACTACTAAACAGTTTATCATCATCTGACATGCACAAACGAAACCTCATTTCTCGGCAGCGCTGTCGGATGCATTTTTCACAAAGCAAGGATTCACTATTTTAGAATATAAGAACCAATAAATAGCATATTATCTTAATAAATCTTTACACTTTCAAATAATATTTGAAAAAAATTAATTTCCATCCTTGGCCAATGATAAAAGAATGCAAATCTTACCCTTCATATCTTTTATCAATAGGATATCTGGTAAATAATAGCCCCGCCTATATCAGGAAAAATATTTTGAAATATTACATTATTATTTATTATAATTTAGGAATTAAAAAAACCTATTTAGCTAATAGTATAAAAATTTTTAATTCTCAGATGCATTTTAAAATATTTGATTCAAACGAAGTATAGAATCAAAGACGTAATATATATAAAATGTGGCGTCTCACCCCTTCTTTAGAAATACACTTCATCTTGACCACATCATCAGGTGGAAGTTTATCATGCTGACATTTTGGAACCCTGTTGCTAACCTGGTCAATTTTAGCCGGTTCTGCCAACCATTTAGTTAACCACTCTAATGTAACCCACTCCCATGGTTCTTCTGATACAGAAAATGCAAAGATAAATTTCTAAAGCTGTTTAAAATTGAGAAATTTAGGCGATTTTGATGTTCAATACTCATATAACATTCCTTAAATTTGACTAAAAATGCTTAAGTAGTCTTTAAAAATTACAAACTAGTAAATCTTGGTATAGAAATGCCTGACAGTTAATTCAAAAGTTTCTAAGAATCACACTGTGTAGAGAGTTAGCAGTAAAAATATTACTAAGGAAAAATTGGTCAAATTCTTAAACAGTTGGTGAACCCTTGAAATCAGATTAACAATTTCTTAAAGGCTGACTGAAAATCACAATAATTGTAAGTAGCTCGAACTGTCATGGAAGTTCATAAATCTATTGATAAGCCTACGCTGCTTTTTAATCAGGGAATGCTTGGGGGCACTTTAAATTTTTGTGGGGAAAATGTTGCTAAGCTAAGACTAAATAAATATGAAATAAAATCCATGTAAATCTAACTCTAAAGCACAACAAACAACACCAAATTGTAATTCATTACCTAAAGACTTAACAGGAAGTGCACTATACAAAGCTCGCATTTCTTCGTGAGTTTGTTTCACCTCAGAAATATTTTGTTCCTTTAATTTGGAGATTAGAAAATATATTATTAAAAAAGTATATATTTAAAAAAAAATTTTGTTAATAATGTCTAGTTTACAACTTTACTTCTAAAAATGACCTGTTAAATGTTGTATTTAAAATGTTTCCACTACCTGAGTGTCCAGCATTTCTTTGATCCAACCTTCAAAGTCCTGGTTATCTCTCTCTACATATCCTCTAACAGCAGCAGGTAATAACTCCTCTGATATGTTAGTCAAATCTCCTTTGTTAAAAAACAACGAATGACATTTATTTTGTGTTTAAAGCTATGATGTAAAAACAAAAGCTATGGAGTCTGTTTAACTGCCTAACCTTTTAGGAAACAAAAAAAAAAATAGGAATAGAAAAAAGAAACAAGCCTACCATTATTACAAGACTTTTGTCTTCTATACACCAGCATATAAGCATTACGAGAAGAATGGTTTCCCTTGCTGGCTTTAGGAGCTTTTTCGGAAGTGTTTTCTGTTGCTGTAACATTTTTAAAAAAATTAATTACATGTAATTACATGATGTAAAAAAAAAAAATGCTGGCTGTTTGTCCAGGCCTTAAAATAATTCCTGAGAAAGTAATGTAATACCTAAAACATCTTCTTCTTTTCCCAGTTCCAACTTTTTGTTGTTCATTTTCTCAATCTCCTCATCATTATATTTGTACCAGGCACCAGTGTCTTGTTCCCTGATGTGTGCAATGTAGTGTCCACTAAAAAAATATAATAAGTCTTAAATTGGCCTATTTTTTATATTGCTGGCTCTTAAAATATACCTGGTAAAATCACATGTATATTCATTAAATAAACCTTTAGTAATCACCAATTTTATTTTCACCTAAAAATTAGAAGAAATAAAATTTGCATAGCCTAAAGCCCTTTTTAGAATAAATACACAATTTACTAACACTAGCAAAAATAAATTCTTACTTTTTTTAAAAGGGGTAAATTACATAATCTTAAAAAAAAATGTATACTATATATTTAGAAACTATTTTAATCATACGATATTATTAATGCAAATGTTAACTGAATTTTTTTTAAATTTACTTTTTGTTTTATGGTTGTTGTTTTTTTAAATTACTAGGTGTACCAACTATTTTTTGCTGACTAAGGCACCCACCTGTAAGCTGTAGGGCCCCTGTGTATCAGTACAGCTGTCAGCTCATACACTGCCTCATCTACATCTTCAGTCTGTAGGTATGGAGACATATCCAGAGTCTCAGGAAACTGGATAAAACTACTCAGTTTCTTTTTGTGGCCTTTGTTCCTGTTAGGATATATTCGACAAAAGCTCCTTTCAGTGTGCAAAACCAACACAAGAATACAAAAAAACACTGGTTAGTTAAAACAGATGCTCAACTAATTCTTGAGCAGAGTGGACAGCACTATTTGGTACAAATTTGGTAACGGGTTTCTTACTGGCGTTTCACAATAATTTTTTTCTATATATTTCTAGCACTGATGACCTTACTAGTCAAATCGTTTATTTTCTATATATTTCTAATACTGGTAATCTTATTCATCAAATGGTATTTTTACTATACATTTCTATCACTGAAAACCTTACTTGTCAAATCATTTATTTTCTATATATTTCTAACACTGAAGATCTTATGTGTCAAATTGTTCATTTTCTATACATTTCTATCACTGAAGACCTTACTTATCAAACACAAATGTTTTATTTTCTATACATTTCTATCACTGAAGACCTTACTTGTCAAACACAAATGTTTTATTTTCTATACATTTCTATCACTGAAGACCTTACTTGTCAAACACAACTGTTTTATTTTCTATACATTTCTATCACTGAAGACCTTACTTGTCAAACACAACTGTTTTATTTTCTATACATTTCTATCACTGAAGACCTTACTTATCAAACACAACTGTTTTATTTTCTATACATTTCTATCACTGAAGACCTTACTTGTCAAACACAACTGTTTTATTTTCTATACATTTCTATCACTGAAGACCTTACTTGTCAAACACAAATGTTTTATTTTCTATACATTTCTATCACTGAAGACCTTACTTGTCAAACACAAAGCGTAAGAGCTGCAGGTTGAGTACTGGGGGCAGTTTGTTCAGTCTGATGGCTCTTGTGGCATTCTGTTTACTGTTGCACACACTACACATGTACTGGTTGTCACCTTCCAGTTTCTCTTCCTGGTGATTTAAATTTTTTTTATTCAACACCAGTCAATACAAATATTTACAATTTAATTCTTACTTGGAGAGATTGCTGACTGAATTGAAACACAATTGCTAAAACAATCTATATAGTGTCCCAGACTCAAGCTATCCACCCATTAAGAATTTAGGCAAAAAAATTGATCTTGTCATCAATGACCGACATCATAAACAGCCCTGTTTATAACTTCAAAATTGAACGTTATATTTCTTCCCCAGTCAAATAAGGGAGTAAATAGCTGAACATTTACCTGTAGGAAATCTTTGATTGATGCGGCCAGGGTTGAGTGGCCTCTGATATTCAAGTCAAGTTCATAAAATGTGGCTGGTGTTTCAGATTCACTTTTACAATTTTGACAACTGTAAAAAAAGTTATTTAATTCTACATCCAACAGGAACAAATAATGCAACTAGAGGATGATTATAGAAAGCAAAGCAAGGGCTGCAGGACTTACGTGGGCCACGTGAAGAGAGATGCCCAGAGTCAGATGTAAAATGTGTTTGCAGCCCTTTGCTCCACAGGGGCTTCAAGGGATTAATTTATGTAAGTATCGAACAATAAAGTTTGTCACAAAGAAAATTTTGTGATCAAGAGGGATATTAACTAAGTCTATTAAATATTTGTTCATTTATACATATAAAAGAGAAAAATCTGATAACCAACACTTGGCTTATTAGAAATAATAAGAAAACAAGAAAGCAGAAATACAAAAATATTGCTTACATAGTAACATAGCAGTATCTACCACAAAATTGTTGCACTATAACATTTTCGTTCTCTGTAATTACAGTCGACAAGGAACGCTCTAAGTGATGAAGGAAAAGCTTTGAAAATTCTTGAGCATCCTATTGACAAACAGATAAAAAAGAATACAAAATTAGAAAAAAAACAACCATAGGCTATATTGTTTATATATTAATAAGATTTTAAATAAAAAGTCAATGTCATTATATACTTGTGGAATCAATCAATGTACCAAATTAGATATTACCTGCTGTTCTCCAGTATCTAAGCCTATACACTCAATCAGAGGACTGGGATCAACAAAACTGAAATACAGACAACACAAAAGACACTGGTAAATACATTACAAGAACAAAAAAATAAAAACACATTCATTAATAGTTTCTTAATTAGTTTAATTTCCATGTTTATCTAGAAATAAGTAAAAAAAAAAAGCTTCCACTTCTTAATTCAATTTTGTTTATTCAATTTTTTTCAAGTAATTCTCGACGTCATTATCAATTGTTCTAAAAAATTTTACTTATTTTCTTTGTAACTCTATAAGATGTATGTACAAGTCAAAATAATCTTGGGGCACGAAGGAACAGGTGATAAAATATTTTACAAAGCTAACGGATTAGAGACAAAAAATAGGCTTGGGTTGGAAGGGTTAAATTCACATAACAAAGATGGAATTACAAAGAATTACAAAGTTTGCTCAATTAAAATAGCCTATAAAACAAATATAATTAATGTGTCAAAGAATTTGCATTTTACCAGAAAAATGTCATACTTACCATCTATTACTTAACTGTAATAATGCAAACATCACTTGAAGGTGACCACATATTGAGTCAGGTTTCCAATCATCATCTGGTAAGAGGCAAAAATAACATTTCGTAATGTAAGATAATTTTAGAATGACTAAGAATGCTGATGTAAACAGAATAACAAAGAAAAGTAAACACATAACTATTAGTAGCTGAAATATTGTGGTATTCTAAAGATTAAATTTTAATTTACCATATTAATTTAAGAAAATGATTTTTTAAGTTATATTTAATTGTCTACTTACAATACTCCTCTGGTAGTGTTTGTTCCCTCCACTCATACACAGCTCGTCTGATGATAGGGTTGTGAAACCAAAGTTGTAAAAAAGTGTTGACATAACAGGTGGCTCCCAGATTTTTTAAGCCAACAAAGTGGCCCTATAAAAATACAGCAGATTAATAACTAATACAGATGCGCATAATAAATTAAGGCTAAAATTACTAAAAAAATAAAATATATTAATTTATTTTATCATAAAAATGCTTCCTTTAGATAGATATATTGCCTTGATTTTCCTTCCAGTGGTATAACCAAAAAAAAATTAAATTATCTTTAAAGTAAACTCCTTATTTTATATTAAAGCAAAAAAAGCTCGATGGAGAAGGAAAAAAAAATCAGTATTTTATACTTTTTGCCGTCGTTCTACGTCAGGATCAAAATTCTGCCACTTAGTTTCATCCACTGTTCCATACCACTTTTTTTCTCCAAGATTATTCAAACAGAATGGGTTACCTTTACAATTACGTCTAGAAAACACAATTTATTGATTAATCAAAATTTGAAAAGGAAAACTTTCACATAGCAATTAATCTAAAGCTTATTTATGCCTTTTTTGGAATATAAATCTAATTATGAAGTCAATGTTTCCATTATATTATTTCTATTCTTTAAATAAATAAAATCTTTTAACACTAGTTAAGTAATTTAGTTCTGCATTTCTTTTTCTTCATTCTTTATTGTAAATATTGGAGGGGATTTCCTCCAACACAACTATACATAACCTGGCCCCTTGCCCCCGACTTAAGCTTGTTTTTCTTTCTGGATTTACTTCCATTGCCACTGTCCACCAAAAAATAATTTGCAAGGCAGTAGTTGTGTGGTTTTGGAGTTTTCTCTACTAGATGGGTTACTGTCCCAGCTAACAAGCCTTATCTGCCCAAGGTCTGAACTCCAGACTTATGGAGTTAGCAATCACACACTCTCCCCCCTAGTTGTGTGCTAGAAACAAAACTTTTAAAGAGGCTTACTTGCAAGAAGCTCTTTCACATGTGGAAAGGTTCAGTCTATAGGCCATCTTGACATGCTCTTCTGTAACCTGAGTATAATCTGTAGTTTCTGCCCATTGCCATGCTCCCTTGTCCAGCTGAACTTTGTGCTTGGGTGGCATGTTGCCTCTTTAATTGGCTTTAAAAAATATTTTGAGAATTAAAATAACAATACTAGTCTTTCAGTTGTACTTGCGTGACTAGTAATAAAATTGAAAATGAAACTTTAAAGCAACAGAATTATTTTTACAATTACTTAAACAGATAAAATCAAATTAAATTGAAAAAGAGCTTTTTCCCTCAGAAAATGTGTTTGGAGTTTCAAGGTGTTTTATTTTTATTTTCTTCTTCACTCAGAGGCCACCCAAGCAAAACACATGGCAATACTAACATGGCAAGTTGATTTAAAGTGAGGATTATGGGTTGTCCATGTATAATGTAATGCATTTTAAAATTCCCCCATTATCACCAAGTCAGATCACCCCCTTAAATAACACGTCACACTTCAGCCTGCCCCCCCCCCCCCCCATCCCAATTTTAATTTTTTAAGACTGCCATTTCTTATTCAAAAACTAAATCAGCTTTGTCAAAATTTCATATTCTGATCAATTTTTATTATAATTTATCACTTAAAAGTACAAATTAATTGTTAAAATTCTGTTTTTAAAGTAGCTTTAAAATTTAAAATGTAAAGTAAAAGTATGATGATGCTTTTTAAATCTCCCTTTGTCACACAAAATTACTAAAATCAAATAGCCCCCTCTGACAGCTAACAGGTCTAATAGAAAATAGATTTCCGTTATTAGGCTTATATTTAATATTTATATTTATAATAATACAAAACCAGATCATAATTCATATTTTACATTAGGCCTATGTTTTTAACAAGTCTTATCAAGTGGGTCAAGGCGTAAATTTATTTTTTAAGTAATTTAAGAATAGACCGTAGTAGGCCAATAGACTAAATTGAAAATTCTAGATCTACCTAATAATTATTTTTTTAATAGTCCCAATTTTTAACCTAACAACTGACTCTTTGCCCTTTGCCACTTGGTTTAAAAAATTATTTAATTATAATTAAACAAGCAAACTCAACTTACCACAAGTCATCAAGTGAAATTAAAATGAGCAAAAGGCAAAAATCATCTCCAATAAAATGAGTTTAATTGAGGCCTAGAACTAGATAGTTTTAAAGATAATGGGATCTATCCTTGATCTAGATAGATCTAGATGTCTATGTATAAAATAAATAAATGCCTGGCCTGAGTGTGTAATGGTGTTGTTACTCAACTGTAGCCGAGTGTGTAGCCAAACTCTGAAATCTGACTTGACTCTTGACTAGGCAGCTAGGCAGGGAATTCCTGATCCTGAAAATAAAGATTGATCTTGTTATAGAATTGAACTTGAGTATTAGGCCTAAGTGAAATTTTGGGAATTTTTTGAAATATTAATTTAAAAACTGAAAGGAAATATCCATCAATGTGCTAATTAAAATCTTATTTAGACTATACACACTTACTTCGCGGTTGAATAACTTGTTCGCTTACTATACTACACTATACACAGCGGAAATAGATATTATTTATTACATAGTGCTTTCCCCTGTTTTCCGTTTATTTACGACACCTAGGACTGGGCCTACCTTTTTTACATGCATATAATTATTATCTCGATATTTTATAAAATTATATAATATTATAGCAAACATTATTCGTTGAAGTAGAAAAAAAGTTAGGCCTTAAAAAATAAAATCTAGAATCAAAGTCCTTACCAAAAAAATAACTAGATCAAACACTTTTTAATACTTTTAGCAGCATAAACAATGTTATTTATTATATTTAACTCATTACCTTACCAGCTTACCAGTGTTTGGTGCTTTATTAGTGGGCTATTTATTTAATATCCTTATTCAAGTTAAACAAATGTGATGCCCTTTATTGCCTTTTAATAAAAACAAAAAAATATGTGCCATTCGCCAAGTGAGTTGCAACCGGTGTTTCTTTCAGATATATTTTAAACAATTATAGTTTTAAACTTTTAAACTGATTTTTGGAAGTAGGCCTCTACTTTTTTTTAAAAAAAGCGCCCCCCCCCCCCCCCCGAAGAGATGTATGGAAGAAACTCTGTTATAGGCGAGTGTTAAACAACTTTGGAATCGAGATCAAATTTTCTCTGAATGCATCTGGGAGCAAAGCTGAATGACCGATCATCATGTATAGTGTTTCTTCCAGACTTTTTTTTTCCGGAGGGTCACTTGATATTTTTCTGGGGGGGGGGGGGGGGGGGGGGGGGGCACTTGATATTTTTCGGGGGGGGGGGGGCGGACACAAGTATATGTTTTCTATTGAAATTCCATATCGTTCGGGGGGGGGGGGGGTAGATTTTTTCTGGGGGGGGGGGGCGTCCCTCCTGAAGAGATGCCTAGATCAGCTGTTAATTCCTTTCCGTTGTTTTTATCTATCTCTCCAGAATAAAATGAAAAAATACCTGGTCGGGTCGGTAAAGCTCATAGTTGTCAAACCGAAAAGTCCCGTGTTTCGAACCCTCGGGTACATGCTCGATAGCTGGGGACAGCAACCCATCTAGGGAGAGAAAAAAACAGAATCAAACAACGGCTGCCTTGTAGTAGTTTTTTTAAGGGTTGGACAAAGGCTAGAGCAGTAGCGTAGCGAGGGGGGGGGGGGGGAACATATGTCCTCGGGCGCCGACCTTAGGGGGCGCCCAAAATGGGTTGGAAAAAATAAATTGAAAGGTTTGAGGGGGGTTCAAAATCGAAAGTTTG